AGAGCATTTATTTTAGTTTAGTGTAAATTATGCCTGTGATAAATTTATAAATTTGCACATTAACCCTTTAAAATACTACCTCTAATATTTAATATAAGAGTTAGTAAGAAATCAAATTTAGTTGTAAATATAAAATCTTTATCCACTTTTTCTCTCAAATTTATAATATATTCTTTAAAATATTTCTATTGAGTGTAAGAGATTCTTATCAAGAGATATTTCGAATGCACATGATTAGGGAGGGTGATTTAGAAAGTTAACATACATTTGATATAATTAATCAATTCAACTAATTTTTTTAATCTTTTTAAATTTGTTATCTAGTTTTATATTAAGAACTAAGAGTAGTATATTATAGGATTTGATAATTTGATTATAACAGCCTTTGATATGTATTATTTCGGCCCTCTAGTTTTATACTTGTGTCTCTAATTGTAATCCTTATCTTAGTATCTTGCGTATAAGGGAAATCAATTAATGTCTTCTTTATTTAAACATTATTTTCTCCATTAATGTTTTCCTTATTTAAATATTATTTCTATAGTTAAATATGAATATTTTTGTATATTCTTGTGGCCAGTACTGAACCTTCATTTTTGGGGGAAAAAATGAAATGGATGATACATGAATCTAGGAGCTTAGTATATTTTGTCAACTAATAATCAAACTTAATCTCGAAGAAGACATTATTACAATTTCAAAATTTATGGGGTGACATTACACCAAAAAAAAAATCCAAATATCCAAAAATATTAAGTGAAAACTTTTAATATAAATTTATAATTTAACCTTCAAAAAAAGTGAAGTGCGTGGCATATGGACCTACCAACTTAACATATTTGATCATCTAATGCTTAAAGTTAAACTAGACAATGGCTAAAGGGATATTGTTACAATATTGAAAACTTTCAGAATGACATTAAACCCAACAAAATTTTCTAGCTCGAAACAAATTTACACCTTAATAATCCAACATTTATATTTCAAAATAGAGAAAGTATAATTTGTGTGTGTATATTATATACAAACAAAATTAAGCAGGAGAAGACACCCAACACATTGAATCCAATATAATGCAACAACACGAGAGCAAGTATGTGCAATCACTATGAAGATTATTTTGAAAAAAAATAAAATATGAAAGATAAAGTGAATTAAGATTTTATATTTAGAATAAAATTAAATCTCTAACTAGCTTTTATATTTAGAATCCAAGGTAGTACTACTCTCTACTATTTGGCTGTAATTTTCATAAACTCATCAAATAGTTATAAATCTCTTATTAAAAAATTAATTGGTAAATGGTTTCTAAAAACTTTGTACAACTCAACTTTTATTGTGGGTAATCTATCTTCTATTGTGTGCAATCATATATCCCTTGTGCGATATCCTACCTCTGTGTAAATAAACTTTTTTTATGTACAACCCATCTTTGTTATGCATAAATTAGTTCGATGTTTAAATAATGTTTCGGGTAAACCATCTTCCTCCACATCATAGGGACCATTTGTCAATTAATTTGACAATTATAAATTTATCCTAATTTTCTGAAAATAAAATACAATTATATGATGGTTTTTGTGGTAAATAATCATCAAATATTTTCCTACACACTCATTTCAGTTATTTGACGCCCAAAATAACAACTGTTTATAAGTTTTTGTTCAATCTCCAACTCAAGTTACTTGACACGTTCTATTTAACTGACAATTATGAAACATCGATTAAGCCTAATTTAAATTTTATAATAATATCCCTCTTGCATGCATGCATCTTTCTTGTGATGCATTAAACTACATTAAAGCCTTGACTTTTTTGGACTTCTTCATTCTTTTTTTTGATACTAAAAAGAAACCTCCTCAGCGTACTACATCTTTGTGTATATCAAGATTGCACTCCGAGCTCAGAATGTTAGCCAAATCTAAAGGCGGTGCAGAAACAAAATGATAACCTCTAACAGCCTCCAGACCTTTCTTGGCTAGGAAGTCAGCAGCCTTGTTGTACTCTCGACTCACATGGTTGATTCTGACATTCCAATCTCGGTTAATAAGAACGCGCACTTCCTTTAGAATATTATAATCAGCATGTCTTTCATCTGGTTCCGCGTTGAGCATCTCAATAGCATTGCTTGCATCAGACTCTAGAATAACTCGACGATGCCCGTTATCCCACGCTGTTTTGAGTCCTTGTAGGCAAGCCCACAACTCTGCAGTCAAAGCATCTCCATCGTCACCAAGTTTCTGTATGAAGCCTTGGAGAAATTCGCCAGCTTCATTTCTGATGAGTCCGCCACAAGCACTTGACGTCGTATATGGGGAATAAGCACCGTCAACGTTGAGCTTTACCCACCCATCATCTGGTGGGTGCCACTTGCCTTCATCATTGCAGCGACGAACCCCTTGGAGCTTAACCCCAGCAAGTTGTTGCTGCATTTTATCTATATTTGCTATTATTGCATTAGCATTAGTGATGATTGCTTCATTGCTCACCCGCTTACGCTCAAAGATGAAAAGATTTCTTCTCCTCCAAAGCCACCAGCAGATGACGGCAAAAAGAGCCTTCCACTTCTCTATGGAAGTATTCCACCAAAACCACTCATCAAAATTCAAGGAGCAGAAACGTCTCCAGGCATCAGACGGAACGAGCCTTTTCCAAAGACGCCTTGACTCATGACAGTCACGGAAGACATGAATTGTATCTTCTACTGCTTGGTTGCATATCGGATAGCAGTCTTCTTCACTTAGTCCTCTTCGGCGTCGTGTCGCATTAGTAAGGAGGCATTTTCTAGCCGCTAGCCACATCAGAGTCCTACATCTTTGTGGCACTTTCAATTTCCATATCTTCTCCCATGAAGAGTCACTTCCCGTATCAGCATGGGATAAGAGATTGTAAGCTGATTTTACTGAGAAGTTGCCACTCTGATCGTGCTTCCACTTGATACTAGAACCATCAGCAAGCTTGTCTATACCTGATTCAACTTCCCTCCACACCGCTTTGATGCCTGACCACACGTTTGATCCACTTCGTTTTGTATCAACCCGAGGCATGAGGTCATTTCCACAGCAGTACTTGTCTCTAACAATCCGGACCCAAAGATCATCCCGACAATTGACAAGTTTCCACCCCAGTTTCATGAGGTGGGCCCGATTTTGTAGCTTAGCATGTCTCAAACCAAGACCTCCTCTATTCTTTGGTTGACATACGGAGTCCCATGCAACTAGGGGTATCTTCTGGGTATCACTCGTGCTTCCCCACAGGAAGCTTCGGTTTAGTTTATCAAGCGTCTCACAAGTGTTGGTAGTAAGAAGAGAGGTTTGCATAGTGTAGCTCGGGATGGCTGAAGTAACTGAAGTAATAAGCGTAGATCTACCAGCGAGTGAGAGAGAGTTTGTCTTCCATTTTGCCAATCGAGTTTTGACCTTACCAATGATTTCTTCGAAAGAGTCCTTCCTTACTCTCTTGTGGTGCAAAGGGACACCAAGATATTTACCCAAATCCGCTGTTTGAGTGAAGCCCAAGTGATTACTTATTTCTGAGCACCTGTTATGGTTCATATTTGGAGAGAAGAACACACGGGTCTTTGAAAAATTTACCTTTAATCCCGCAGAGGCAAAAAGTGTTCAAACAATTCTTGATTAACTCCGCTTGTTGTATTGAGGCTTCTGCAAACAAGATAATGTCATCCGCAAAGAAGAGGTGAGAGATAGGAGGGCCATTCTTTGTTAGTCGTATTGGTTTCCATTCTGCCGCTGCCATTTTTTCTTGGATAAGATGAGCCAGTTTTTCCATGCAAATCACAAACAGATAAGGAGAGATCGGGTCCCCTTGCCTCACTCCCCTAGAAGAATTAAAAGAATCAGCTTTGTTACCGTTCCAGAGAAGTTGCAAACTGGCGGTGCTAATACAGCAGGAAATAATGTCAATAAAATGAGTAGGCAGAGCTAACTCTTTCAAGCACCGGATCAAGAATTGCCAATTGACTCTATCATAAGCCTTTTCAAGATCTATTTTGATAGCCATAAAGCCTTTCTTCCTTTTCATGTTGCGCATAGAATGAATAACTTCTTGGGCAATAATGATATTATCAGAGCTGTGTCGGCCAGGTACAAAACCGCACTGGTTCGGAGATATGATTTGCGGCATGAAGTTTTTCATCCTGCTTGCCACAATTTTAGTAACCACTTTGTACACCACATTGCATAGACTGATGGGCCTTAGATCTTTAAAGGTCTCTGGGGAGTCCTTCTTAGGAATTAGAACAAGCAAGGTATCATTGATCTTCCGTATCTCATGAGGATTGTCAAAGAGATGTTTAATGTAATTCACAAGCGACCTTCCAACTGTATGCCATTGATTTTGATAAAACAAAGCATTGAAGCCATCTGGGCCTGGGGACTTTAAGGGACCCATGCTAAACACAGCATCTTTAATTTCCTGTTCATCAACAATACGACTACAACAACGTAAATAAATATCATCAATAAGGGGATAGGTAATATCACATACCAACTCATCACGTAGAGGTGCATCATCTGTGAAGAGGTTTGAGAAGAAAGTTGTAGCCTCTTGTTTAATGATGCTCGCATCGTAGCACCAGTTCTCTTCATCAATACGGATTGCATCGACTCTATTAGTTTTCCTTCGTCCGTTGGCATGTGAATGGAACAGTTTTGTATTCCTGTCACCGTAAACACTCCAGTTTAGACGAGCTTTTTGAGCCCATAATAAAGCATCTTGTGCCATGACACTTTCAAGTTCTTTCCACAGATCATTTTGAATTTCTTCATAATACTGAACATTCCAGCCCCGGTGTATAGCTCTATTGACACCATCTAGACGTCTCAAGAGCTTTTGCTTTCTTGCTTCAATATGACCGAAGACCTGTTTGTTCCATAGGCGACACGCATCTGTAAACTGGTCCATATTATGGTTCCAATTCAGGCTCTCCCTCCACTTATCTCGTATGAATTCATCAAAGTTCTCATGAAGGACCCAAGAAGCTATAAAGCGAAAAGGCCGCTGAGGTTTTTCAAAATGATGCTCAAGTTGTAGAAGGATGGGTCGGTGGTCTGATTTGTAAAAGGGAGATGTGACACCTGTGCATGAGGAAATTTCTGGCACCATGTCTCATTAGCAAAGAAACGATCCAATAGCGCCTCAGAGTGGGATGTCTTCCACGTGAATTTAGGACCCACATAACCCAAGTCTTGCACATTCACTTCTTCAAACCACCTGTAGAAGTCACGGTCAACCGATATACTATGAATTGCATTAGAGCACCTTTCCATCTCAAATAGTGTTGCGTTGAAGTCCCCACCAAGCACCCAAGGTGCTTGCATAGTATTATCAAGGCGCCGAAGTTCATTCCAAAGCGCACGTCTTGTCACCACGTGGGGGCTCGCATATACAACCGTCATATACCATTCATCAAGTCTGCTATTCTTAATTTTTAAGTGAATATATTGTCGATGACGCTCTACAACAACTACCTCCCGTATGCCAGCATTCCAAAGGCACCAAATTCCTCCACTGTAGCCTTCAGTGTTGATGTAGGTGTAGTCTTGAAATCCAAGTCTACCAATCCTTTGTTCAGTCTTTTGCTTATCTGACCGGGTCTCTACCAGAGCAAGGAAGTCCAGATGATAAAATTTTTTAATTTCTTGAATCAGGCTGGGAAATGTCTTCGAGCCTGTACCTCTTGAATTCCAGATCATGTAGTTCATGGGGAAACAATTGTATGGTTTGGTGATGCTTCAAGGCCCCCCACCTGAGCAATATCCATATTTGATAAAAGTTTTTCGCCTGAAGTTGACATACCAAGATGAAAATCTGATGATACACTATTTTGAGCTGTGGTGTCTTCATTCACCATGGCTAAAGACGAAGAAACACCGTTAGGAGGCTGAGAAGTATCCATTTCTGCCAGATCGCGTCCATTCAAACTTGAGCCCAAAATTTGTTGCTTGTTAGCGTCTTGTGTATGTGGTCCATCTTGGAGTGATGAGAATGGGTTAAAATCAACAATGGGCCCATAGTTGGTGTCCTTTATGCCTTGGACTTTTGCTTTTGATTTGTCTGAGTTATTTTCCTTCCCACGCAGCCTGTTCTTATCCACTATTTTCCTTTTTGAGCCTATGGTCATCCACGTGTTGCTATCAGTTGAAATCTCGTTCCCAAAAGCTCGCTCTTTAATTATGGGGTCCGTGATCTTTGCTCCATGATCCTTCAGTACTCCTACTGGTCTATATACTCCTTTAAGGACCTCCTTATTCTTGATCCGGTTTTGATTCCTGCCATTAATCATATTCCCCATTTCCTTTTTTTCCTCTCTTATATTTCCATTATTAGATCCCTTTTTATCCGCAACATTAGCTGTATTCGATCCCCTCTTATCTGTTCCAATAGTGATTCTGCGAAAATTACGGCTTACCAACATCTGTGGACCCAAGTGAACATCAACCACCGTAGCCTTCGTTCCATTCACCGGATTCTGGGAGTTTCCGGCGTCGTTCATGTCGACAGAGTTCATCGTCTGGGTATTGGTTGATTTATCCTGTGCGGGGTTCGAGTCCGTGAGAGGACATGCATGTTTCTCATGACCATATCTTCCACAATGAAAGCACACCAAGTGTGAAGCGTGAGTTTGGAGCGATGAGAGCGAACGGGTCGAGCGATGGTGAACGTGGGTTGAGTGACGGCAATGGAGAAGGAAGTAACGATAGTGGCGATCTCGGTGGGGGACGCGAACGAGATAAACTACTAGATAACACGCCATTGGACTTCGTATTTGGCATGGGGGTGGAGATAAGACGACAGAAGGGCTGCATGAGAAAAACCCACAGGTACCGAACCGGAGATCTCTTCCTTTGTCCTATAAGGAAAAGCTTTTGTCTTTAGGGTGTGGGGGCTTTTTGGTGAGACATGATGAAACTGAGGATATTGTCAATGGGTGGAAGTCCTTTTTTGCCAAGAAGAATAAGGAGGAGGGTCCAAACCTAGAGAAGGAGATGTCGGATGGAGAGGAGACGGAGGGGACTACCATAAAACCGAAGTATCCAGTCCTAAAAGTGACGGCTGAGCAATACACAGCATGGCGCCAGCCATGGATGAACTCCTTGATTATTAAACTAATGGGGACGCAAATTCCAAGGCATGTACTCATTGACAGAGTTAGGAGGATGTGGAAACCAAAAGACCTGATGAAAGTGACCCCTCTTAGTAATGACTACTACATTATCTCGTTCTCAAGTAGGGAAGACCGTGACTATGCTTTTCAGGAAGGGCCCTGGATGATTGATGATCATTACCTACTGGTTCAAAGATGGCGACCGAATTTCAATCCATGGAAAGCGGACAACCAACGAAGAATTGCTGCCTGGATTCGCATACCAGATCTGCCAATGGAATTTTACAACGTGGAATCACTTGGACTTCTTCATTCTGCCTGGACAACAATTCTCATATTTGTTAAGTTCTTAAATTACACATGACAATGTGTGTATTATTTTTAAAATATTAATATTTAATTATAAACTCATTTGAAAAAATAAATAGAACACATATTTATGTGTAATTAAAAAACTTAACATAACAGATATAAGTAACTTACTCATCTGGTCCTATTTATAAGTCGTTTTCAAATGTTTTTTATAGACAAAAAAAAACCTTAAATTTCATCAACTCTCATTTAAAATTCAAAAACTTTTCAACTTTATCCCTATTTAATATACATTATATTTTATATAAACAAACTCAGCATAATAATAAATGAAGGGTAACATTGTACATCCATGCAAAAAATTTCTCTCAGTGTCTTATAAATAAGACTAAAAAATATCTTCTTTCTCTGCCTTATAAACAAGATCATAGGAGTAAATGTTTTCCTTTCATATATACTCCTCTGGTCCTATTTATAAGGCGGAAAGAGAATTTTTTTTATCCTATGTCAGTTCTTTAAATTTTTAGCATGAATGTATTATTTTGTCCTTTACTTATTATAGTGTAGATAGTTATCTCTTTTGAAAAATATATATATTAAATATGGGTAGAGTTGAAAAATTGTTATATCTTAATAGAGAGTTAATGTATTTTAAGATATTTCTTGATTTATGTGAAATATATTAAAAGTATTTTATAAATAGGATTAGAAGAGTATATATTTCTGCATGCACCGGCACGCACCACAAGGGAAATTAACAAATGAGAATGCTATTTTTTATAATCCTCTCTAGCCCAGAGATTTGGTTATTTCCCACCACAAATCTAGCGCGTTGCGGAAATTAAATAAAATAACAACGGCCCCGTGCTGCTCATAAAAGGGGACAGGATTGTAATATTAAGATCCGGCCCTTAATTAATCGTTTGTTCTTTGTTCACATTTAAGGCCAGTGTCTTTTTATTTTTGCTGAAACCAAAAGCCAAAACGCAAATGAAGTGATTTTCTCTGAGGTCAAAATCAAGTGAGAAGTTATAATTGTAATGAACCTTCTAATGGTGTAGGTTGTATAATAATTATTGGTAATTTTTAATAAGATTAAGCTGCATCCAACACCCTGAAATATTTTTTCGTTTAATTTGTAATGCATCCAGCACTCTAAGGTTTTTTAAGTGCATCTAGCATCCAGAAATATTTTTAGTTCATCCAGTACTAAAGCAAAAAAAAAAAATTCAAGATACTAGATGTATTTGATAAAATATTTCAGAGTGCTGAATACAATTTAATCCTTTTTAATTAATATACTACATCTAGTTCTAATTATAAAAGTTTGTTGACTAATTTGAGGAGATTAAGAAAAAAGTTAAGTTAGTTATTTGTAATAAATAGGTATTTTCTTTCCTAAAATATCCTTACTAATCAAGTGTGTTAGCTAAAATTAAAATTATTAGAAAGATTATCTTGGAAAAAATTGAGTAAATGTGAGAGACAAAATGAATTAGAATCTTATATTTAGGACTAAAATAAAAATCAAATGAGGTCTTATATTAAAAATCGAAAATAGTAATTATTAGTCGTCTTATCCTCTTAATGTTCGTCTTCTACCTTGTAGTTTAATGTTTCCAATTAGACTAGCGCTTTTGTTTCGAGCTCGTCTCTTTCATTTTAGTGTGCATGTTATTCTTATTGTTTTCCCTGTTTTCTTAATGGGGTCCAAATAACTGTAGATCATTTTATTTAGTTTTTAATAAATTTTTTTATTAAAAAAAAGAGTAAGAGAAATTCACTATTTTAATAATTACATATGAAAAATAGATGACTTCATATGACCCTTAGCGGACACAAAAAGGTGGCGTAATTTGGGGGGGGGGGGGGAACAAAGGTTGGTTATGCATACATGGCATCAATTGCAGTAATTTACATATAATGCCTTTTGCTCTTTTGTTGGGGCCAACCAAGATGGTTAAAGTTACTTTTCTTATACTGTTGGAAAATGACCTGATTTTTTATGCCTAAAGGAAATGACCTGATCTTCTCATGAAAACTATATTAAGAAAAATTATTCTAAAACTCGACAATATAATCATCTTATCGTCTATCTATATATTTGTATATAATATATTAAATTTTTTGATACAGTATAATATATTAATTCTAAAAAATGTTATTATTTTTTAGGACAATACTTACAACAAGTTATTTAAAGGGAAAATGACAATAAAATACCACCTGAATTTCAAAAAGACAAATAAGGCACCTGAATAAGCAAAATGACATATAGGGAACTGGGTACCAATCTGGAATTCAGATTTTTGGCCAAAAGACCAAATGCCCTGTCTGAAAGTGAGAGGAAGGAGAGAGGAAGACACTGATGAAATACGAGAAGGAGAGAGGAGGAAGACGCTGATGAAATTGGGAAGAAGAGAGGAAGGAGAGAGGAAGACGCTGATTTTCGATGGGTTCCCACAGCTTAAAATGTTATTGCCTAGCATTTCTCTAAAAAATTTTGGTTCTGTCTCTGTTCTTCGCATAAAACCATTTTCAGAGAATGTGAAGCTGTGGGAAAGATGAACCTGTGGGAAAGATGAAGCGAAAATCAGAAAACAATGGCAAGCAATTACGTAACGTAACTACTGTCATATGCCTGCTGGTTTTTGGTAAATCCCACTACGTGAATGGTAAATTTCACTATACATGTAGTTAATTATGAAAGTTAATAGTTCAATGTTTATTGTGACGTACTTCAAATGCACGTTCACTGAATGATTTATTTATGCTTATAAGTTGCCTTTCCGGTGAAAACAGGTTTACAAAACCCATTGAAGAAGTAGTCACTTTCACTATAAAAGTTGTAAATCCCAGTATATGTTTTGTAAAATTCAACGTGAAATTTTATTGGTTTTTACAAACAAGTTGTTTATCTCCTGAAAACATGTTGCAAAACCCATTAACAAAGTAGTCACTTTCACTACAAAAGTTGTAAATCACAATATGTATTTTGTAAAATTCATAATTAACTACATGTATAGTGAAATTTACAACCACTATAGTGAAAATGACCACTTCTTAAATGGCTTTTGCAACCAGTTTTCAGGGGATGGGCAACTTGTTTCTAAAAACCAATAAAATTCCAGACTGAATTTTACAAAACACAAAATGATATTTACAACTTTTATAGTGAAAATGACCACTTCTTAAATGGCTTTTGCAACCAGTTTTCAGGGGATGGGTAACTTGTTTCTAAAAACCAATAAAATTCCATACTGAATTTTACAAAAC